CAAGTGCGCCCGCCCACTCTCAGGGCCAGCACAGAGACAGTGGGTGAGCCAACACAACAACTCCTGCAGCAGGGTGCACAGCACACCCCCATGTTTCAGCTGCTGTTGTCAAAACCCTGGATGACAGAGGGCTCGCATCCCTCATGTCACTGTCACTCCTGGCCTGGGGCAGTAGAGCCAAGGTTCAGGACTCTGAAGTCAGTGTCTCACCAATCACTTTCTAGTTTCTTTGCTGGGACTTGTGGTGACCAGACAGGGCCCCTGGCCTCGGGGCACGGACATTCTGGAGCTGGGCTATACACGGACATCAGCCCGGTCACGTGGATGACAACTGGGCTATGAAGAAAGCGGTGGGCTCAGCGGCTTCCCTGCTGGAGAACAAGGGCCAAAGTCACACCAGGGAGGCACAGGGCTGCTCGGAGGCCTGCGTGGGCTAAGCCACAGAAAAGGGTCGGCCAAGACTCAGTGGCTTCTGCCCGTGGGAGGGACCACAAGCCACAGGCAGGATACGGACATGCAAGTTTCAGGACACTCCCTGTCCTTCTGAAGACCTCTCCAGACCCTTGGAAGTTGCTGTTTGGTTGTCTGTTCTCTTCTGCTTTTTTGCTTTGTTTTATTTTGTTTCTGGCTAAATAGCACTCGACTTTCTCCTTCTGGTCTAGGCTGAAATTTCCACACCTCCTAGGTTCCCGACCTGGAGCTCACACCTCCCTAGGGGTCCTTGGCAGAAGAGGCAGCTGACCGGTCTGCCCTCACTCTGCTCCACACTCCCTCAGCCCTTCGTGGCCCCTGACTGGAACCCTGATCAGGGCTGCCCTCCCCAACTGTGTCCTCCCCTTGCGATCTGTTCAGCCCAGCAGACGTTTACTCCACGCCTAAAGATGCAATCTGCTGTACTGAGGGGTGGGAGGTACAAAAGTCTCAAGACTAAGATGGGAAGAGATGATTAAGGTGGTCCTTTTATGTATTCACCGTTCACCAACCCCATGGCATACGAGGCGCTGCTCACTTCTCACACACACTTGTTCTCCAGGAGCTGACAGACCAGACACGCATGCTCAACACTAACCCAACACCCCAGGAGGCAGGCCCAAGGCCCACAATGACCAGCTTGGGGGCTCTAAGGGGGGCTGCTCCTGTGGTCCTGCAGGGAAAGTGGATGTTCCACAAAAAGCCCATCTGAACCCACCAAGAGTTTCACAACTACCCTCCCCAGAGGCTCCCGTGTCATCAACCCCCTAACCAGACTCAAAGGTTCCACCTTCACTCCCCAAGGCTCCTTCTCCTGCCAGGGCCTGGGGAGGGGGCGTCACGGGACGCATCACTGAGTCCCGAGCCCTCTGCTAGAGCGTGAGTGGAGGTCTCTTCCTTTTCCCTCCCACCACCCCTGTGAGACAGACTGGACTCCTGCCTTCGCATGGATGAGGGAGATGACCCAGAAAGGTGACGTATGCAAGGCCACTCAGCTCACACGTGGAGAAAGTGGGTGTTCCCAAGCTTCACAATGGATGCTGGCGCAGGTAATAAAGGCCACTGTCATTGAGAAGGTGGCACACACAACACCCAGGAAAATATCTACTCTTGCACTCTTCAGCAAGTGGTTTATACGCCAGGTGCCATGCTTCATAGGATTGGAGTCTTATGGGAAACTCAAAGGGGCTGAGATACAAGATATCAGGGGGTGACCCGCTTTAGGCAGGGTGGGCAGAAAAAGATCTTGAGTATTTAATATTTAAGCAGACATGTCAACGAGGAAAAGGAACTAGTCATGAATACAGTGAGGGGAAGTCTACCCATTGTGGAATATCTTAAATACTCGATAACAAATTGTTTAAAGGGAGAGAACAAAGAAAGAATTTGGAATGCTCAAGAAGCTGAAAGACCAGAGAGGGTGGAACGGGGTGGGGGTATGAGAGGAGGTGGCTAGGCCAGGCTGGGGTGGGGGTGGGGGGGACATCTGGAGCTCTGTTCGGACTCTGAGGACAGTCACTGATGGGTTGTCAGCAGGGCAGTGGTGAGCGAGTGGAGGGAGAAGTCCGGGGAGGCCCGGAGGAGGCAGAGGCAGTGCAGGGCTAAGAGGAGGCTGCACTAGAGTCCCTTCAAGGGCCCTCCTAAACAGCCGCAACTCCAAACTGCTTTTCCTCAGTGGAAGCCAGGAGCCGTTTTATTCAGCCTATTCTCTCGGGAGCTACTCAAGAGCCAGGTGAGGACAGGGAGCCCCCTCCCACTGAAATGTCCCAGGTCTTCGCTTGGCTTCCCTCATTCAACTGTAAATTACCTCGGTTCAAAACATTTCCCAAGGGACTTCCCTGGAAGTCCAGTGGTTAAGACTTGGTGCTTCCAATGCAGGGGGGCACGGGTTTGATCCCTGGTCTGGGAACTAAGATCCCCCACATGCCATGTGGTGCGGCCACAAAAAAAAAAAAAAAAAACATTTCCCAAGTCGGCCAACTTTAAACAACAGCATAAACACTAGAGAAAGTCAGAATTAACATGTCAGGTATCCTGACCTTCTTTTTTAATGCTGTGAGCACAATAAATCAAGGCACCAAGAATCACGGCTTTCAAAGTGAAACCTGGAGAGAAAACAGACAAATCTGAGAACTGAGAACACCCACATGATGTCAGGCAGAAAGCCTCTGAAACTGCTCATCCCAGTGGTGGCAGGCGGAAGGGCTCCCTAAAGTGCCCAGGCCTTAACCCCGGGAACACGCCAACAGTAGATGCAGAAGGGCCTTTCCAGATGTAATTAAGGTTATAGACTTGAAAGTAGGGACATCATCCTGGATTATCCAGGTGGGCTCAATCTAATCTGAGCCTTTAGTAGAGAATTATTTTCTCTGAAGGCAGAGAAATGGGGCAGAAGAGCCCACCCTTGCTGGAGGGGGCCACATAGAAAGTGTAACAGAGAATGGAGGCAGCCTCTGGGAACAAAGACTGACCTCGGAAAGGCTAACAGCCAGTTAGGAGCGATTTCGCCTCAGTCTTCCAACGCCATGGAACTGAATTTAGCCAACAACCTGAATTAGCTTGAAAGCAAATTCTACCCCAGAGCCTCCAGGAAGAAATGCACCTGCCAATATCTTGATTTCAGCCCTGTAAGAGCCTGAGGAGAAGATTCAGCTGAGCCCACTTAGACCTCTGATCTACAGAACCTGTCAGATAATACACCTGTGTTGTTTTTAAGCAACACAGTTTGTTGGCAGCAACAGAAGAGTAATAGCAGCAATCTGGCAAAAAAAAAAAAAGAACCCAGTTTCTCTAGAAGCAGAAGGAGGCTGAATCAAGAAGTACTCAGTCGGTCCTCTTCAATGGCCCCCCCAGCCCTCTGACACTCCCCCACCTGCCCCATTTCCTTTGGTGGCAACTCATTCTTCCCGTCCTTAAATTCCGGGCTCCCTCAAAGAGGACTCTCTGCCCTGGGGGCCTTTCTTACAAGAGCCCTTAAGTAGGTCAATACTCAAGATTTCATCGATTGGTAAATCCAGCATTCACTGATTCTGCAATATCGTCACATCTGTCCCCAGACAATTCCACCGCAGGGCCCGGAGCCTAGCTCTCCAGTCCCCACTGCCTGCACTGGACTGAGAGCTTCCCTGTCTTCTGCCCCACTTCCTTCCTTGCACACTGCTGTACCCCACCCCCTCTATCCAGTTAGTCATCAAGGACCATCTGCGCTCGCTCTCTTGCTTTCTCTGGAATCATCTTCTTTCAGTTTCTACCACTGCCTAATGCAGGCCTTTAGAATCTCTTGCCTGACTAGGTCATTCCACAACCATTTTATGGAGTGATGTGACACACAGTGCTCTAGCAGGGGGAATACAGGCATGAAAAACGACAGGTCCCCAGACCCCAACAGCTCAAAACTCTCATAATGGGCCTCACTGGCCTCTCTCCTCTGTTCTTGATCCATCTCCGGGGACTAAGGGGATCTTCCCAACTCTGGCATCTCACCACCTCAAAGCAGGCCCCATGACAAATAGAGGCTCATCTCCCTAGCACAACACTCCCACCGCTAACGGGTCAGCCCCCGCTGGCCCTCCTTGCACGATCATCTCCTCAAACCCCAGAACTCAGCCTAGCACGAGGTCCTCCACGCGGTGGGCACTCACGCTCCCCACTCCTCAGCTTGCAGTGATGGTCCTTCACACTCCTACTTATCATTCTGGGACTCAGTTTATTCGCCGCCTACTCCCCAACTGCTCAAGCAAACTGTCAATTCCAGTAGAAGAAAGCCTGCCCTGTAACTGCGCCTTGGCGGCGGCGCGTCCCCCAAGGTCAGGGGCTGATCCCCGCCAGCACAGCCCGCCAGTCCGGCAAGCCCAGTAGAAGAAGGTAAACCAACAAGCAGCCGGTGCGGAGGAGCGGAAGCTCCGCGCGCGAAGCCCAGGGCGCCCGGCAGCCCCTGCATCGATGGTCTCAGCAGCGGAGACTGAAGAGGAGGCACCAACCCCAGCTCTTCACTCCCACTCGCGACCGAAGGTCGCTTCCTGACAGCCTCTTCCTGCCACCCTCCGGCGAAGTCCACGGGGGGGGAGGGGGTTACCCGTAGATTCTCGCCCCCACCGCCCCTTCTGTACACCCCCTCCGCCCTCGCCCCGAGGCGCTTTCTCCGAGGAGGAATCGCAAAGCGCCCAGACCTGCAGAAGCCGCCACTGGCGGCCCCGGCCTCCTCCGTCCGCAGTGGGGCGCAGAGCTGGGGAAAGGTTGCCTCCCAAGCACACAAATGACGAATGAGAACGCTCAGGACGATGACTCAGAAGCCGGGGCTCGCCGGCTGGCAGAGTTCGGCCCAGGAACGCTAACCCGCGACCGCGGCGGCCGAGAGCGGAGGGTACAGAGGGGAGGGCCACGCCCCGGTACCCCGCGATCCGGCGCCCGGAATCCCCCGGTCCGGCCGCGTCTCCCTCTCCGCGAGGAGGGCTGAGAGGAAGGATGAGGAGGAGAAGGCTGAGGGGAAGGCCTGGGGTCGCGCCGCCGCCGCCTCGGCCCCTACTCACATTTGGCTGACCAGCTTCTGCCGGAAGGCGGCGCTCCGCCAGTCGGTCTCCTGCCCCGAAACATCCATGCCGGTGCCCCGCTCCCACCGCCTGCGCCCCGCTCGGCAGCCGCCGCCTCAACCGCAGCGCCAGGCCCAAACCCGGAAGCCGTCGGCTGCGTCTCGGCCGCGCCGGAAGCGGAACGAGGATTGTGGGAACTGGGGCGCGAGCGGGGCCCTGTGGGAAATGGAGTCCGCGGGCGCCCGCGAGCCCCACCCCCGCTGCGCTCCCAGCCGCCCGAGGCTGACGGCTGCTGCACCTCGTCGAGTGCCTAACCTGCGGCCCTACTGTGGGCTGGCCCTGCAAGTCCAGGGGATCCACACCCCTCGGGGAGGCCGCGCGCGGCCGCCCGCCACCTGAGCGGATGCCGTGGAGAGATTATCAGAGATTTATCAGCCACCTGCTGTGCCCCTGCTGTGCCCGCACGATCCGGGCCCTACTGCCCTGAGGCTGCCTTCCAGCGCCGCATCCCAAGAGGGACCAGACGATGCTTCTCTCCGTTAGACTTTTGGAATCTCATATCCCACCAATGGCTATATTTTGTAGGGGTTGGAGATGTGAGGAACCCAAACCACACTGTTAATTTTTAGACACAGGCTTTCCTGTTTGGCCCAACAGGAGAACACCTTCCAGATGCTGGCCGACAGCACACAAACTTGCTGAGTGGAGGAGGCAGGGGAGTTGGAGGCAGGTGGGAACGGACAGGGGTTGAAGCCTGAGGATACTTTTAGGAGGATAAAAGTTCTGCCAGACTGAACCTATGCGGCCTTGTCTGTGGCCCTGTGGAGGGAAGGCAGGTGACAAAAATCCTAAGCCCAACTTAGGTCCCCAAGTGCTAAATAGACAGTCACCAAGATGGGCCTCACAGAAAGTGAACTGGCACCTACTGACGCCTAATAAGCGCCTGGCCCAGGAGGGGCTGTGTCCACCCCGTGTCCCTGAGCCCCAGGCAGGAGTAGGGGGTTGTGGGGGAGGGATTGGGAGAGGAGGGAGTGAGCAGGTTCCCCAAAGGGGCCCGTCTTGCCCTCAGGTTTCAGGTTTTGCATTGATAGGAGAGCTGTTCACAGCTTCAAACTTTTTTGCTCTCATTCTTTCTAAAATAATTTTTAAAAATTCTGTCCTGGGAATTCCCTGGCTGTCCAGTGGTTGGGACTATGTGCTTTCACTGCCAGGGCCTGGGTTCGATCCCTGGTCGGGGAATTAGGATCCCACAAGCCACGTGGCCATCAAAAAAAAAAAAAAATCTGTCCCTAGGGTAATCAACTTGTCCTGGTTTGCCCAGGACTCTCCTGGGTTTAGCTCCGAAAGTCCGTGTCTTGACGACCCCCAGGCTGACAAGAATGGTTCATCACCCTGTCTCTATCCCTCTTGCACATTAAAAAAAACTGAGATCTAATGCACATACCATATAATTCACCCTTTTAAAACGTACAATTCAGTGTTTTTTGTTATATTCATATATTCATGAGGTTGTGCAACCATCACCACTGTCATGAACATTTTTAAGTTGACCCATAAATGTTTCTCTGTGAATCACTGGAAAGGTGTAACTGCGGTGTGTCCTATATTGTATTTGGACTTCAGATGCGTTTTGTTATTTAAATCCTCAGCCCTGCAGATTCCATTTACCAATTTATGGAAAATTTTGGTCTTATAACTCCATTGGCAAAGCCAGTCCTCAGACTTAGACCCATGGGGCTTTTGGAAGAAGAGGATGGACATCACATCCAACTCAAGTGAGCTTGTTAACGGGGACCCCAGGACATCTCTCCCTATTCTGCATGCTGGTTCTTTTTCTTTCTTTTTTTTTGGTTGTGCGGGGTCTTAGTTGTGGCAGGCAGGCTCCTTTGTTGTGGCTCCAGGGCTCTTCATTTGTAGCATGCGAACTCCTAGTTGCAGCATGCATGTGGGACCTAGTTCCCTGACCAGGGATCGAACCCGGATCCCCCGCATTGGGAGCACAGAGTCTTATCCACTGCGCCACCAGGGAAGTCCCTGCACTCTGGTTCTAGGAAGGTGGAGAGAGCATGGCACATAGATTCACAGACAGACTGACAGACAGAGGCCCTGTTAGGATGTGATTTCTTTTATGTTATGATTCCTACTCATTGTGTATGAAACCTATAGGATCTAAGGTATGTTAAGCTAAGTTTAGTAGTTCAAAATGGAGTCACAGTGGCCAATGTGAATTTCCATACTAGTTGTTTTGAAACATCACTAAAGAACTGGGAGTGTCTGTGATAAACTGAGAGTGTTACTTTAGATAAGAAAGCTGTTGGGCAACGTATGTCACTGGAACAGAAGGAGCAATGGATAAAGGCGAGATCCCCTCCCCTGGGCATAACCGTTGCTCCTCAAAAAGAGAACACCAAGCTGAGTAACTCAAGAGTGTTCCAGATGGAGGCTGCCAGAGAGCTACTTCCCACTCTGCTTATCCAGAGACCCATTGCTGGACTGGAGACCCTGCTTGTGCAGAGACACCTCCTTCCTGACCTCTCCTCAGAGTGGTTTGTGACCCTCTTTTCCCTACTTCAACTAACCTGTGTCATGTGCTAATTGTGTGCAATAAACTGAGTGATTCATGAATTAAATATTGGCTATGGATATTGTATGTCTCCAATCCAGTGATTCTTTCCTGTCCTTACTGTTGGGCTCTGAGACAAACAGGTCCAGAATGTTGTCAAGAATTTGTCATCGGGATAAACTTAAGTGCTACCCCCTTTGGTGTTTGCTCCAGTCTTCTATTTCTACTTATCCCTTCCTCTGAGGCCCAGAGGTGGTGATACCTTGGTTAGAATTTGGATGGTGACTAGGGAAAGAGGAGACAGCTACAGACCTCTTGGCCTTGGGGAAAGAGGGAGGCCACAGGAAAGTCGATCCTGAAATGGACCTGCATGGTTTAGACCCTGGGGAGGAAATGATGGAGGAAGCTGAAGCTGGCCAGAGGTGTGACTGTATCCCACACCACTTGGGGTGGGCTCCTCTGTTCTGCTGGTTCCTGAGGCTACCTTGCCATAGTTGGACCCTTTCACTGGCCACACATTTGGTGGACACCATCCTGGGCCCTGCAGGAAGCAGGAGCTGGAAGCTTCGCAGGTGGAGGAATATTCCCCCTAGAGAGCCTTGCACACCCTCTCAGAGGCTCTGGCTCTCTCCTTCCAGCCTCACATAGGGACCCCTCTGATACCCCTCCTCACTTTGGTGCTCAGTCCCTAGAAGGTGCTGACCTGCCCCTCTTGAAACCGCACACCTCAGATGGGATTTGAACCCAGCCAAAACTCAGATTGGGACTCAAACCCAATTTTTTAACTGATATCGCACACCTGGTCTCAGGATTTATCAAAGCTCAGGTTCTTTATATCTCAGCACAGAAGGAATTCAGCAAGAGGCAAAGTGATAGGTGAGAAGTGGATTTATTTAGAGAGATACACATTCCATAGGCAGAATGTGGTCCATCTCAAAAGGTGAGGGCAGCCCCAAAATATGCGGTGGTTAGCTTTTATGGGCTGGGTAATTTCAAAGGCTAATGAGTAGGAGGATTATTCCAACTATCTTGAAGAAGGGGCAGAGGTTTCCAGGAAGTTGGCTTTTTATGGTCAGCCTCGGAACTGTCATGGCGCCTGTGGGTGTGTCATTTAGATGCTAATGTATTTCAATGAGTGTATAATGAGGCTCAAGGTCCACTGGAAGTGAATCTTCCACCATCTTAGACCTCGTCGGTTCTAACCAGTTTTTGTCCTGTCCTCAATGGCTATGTCATTTTTTTTTTAAAAGTTGTGCCCTGCCCGCTTCCCTCCTGTTTCACTATCATCCCAGCATCTGCTAGATGTAACCCCTCTTCTGTGTTTGGCCTGGAGCCTGCAATCATTTATGAGTGTGGTGTTGGGGGGCAGTTATTGCTTCTAAAAGCAACACACAGTAGAAACTTTAGAAAGGACCAAATATTATAAATCCCATCACTGAGGCAGCCAATGTTCATATTTAGGTAAATTTCCCCCCTACCCCACCATTAGTTTAAAAAATAAAACAAGTCATGAGCTGGATGCCATCTGGATCCTGTATTTAAACCTACATCATAGCAGAAGCATTGTCTCAAGTATTAACAACTCTTTATTAACCAGAATTTTAATTATAATTTAGAGTATAGAACTACATCATGGGCAAATCTATATACAGACAACTGTAATGGGTGTAAAATACACACAATTTTAACAGCAAGATCATATGCCAAGGGCTTCCCTGGTGGCACAGTTGTTAAGAATCCACCTGTCAATGCAGGGGACACGGGTTCGAACCCTAGTCCGGGAAGATCCCGCATGCCATGGAGCAACTAAGCCTGTGCACCACAACTACTGAAGCCTGTGCTCTACAGCCCACAAGCCACAACTGCTGAAGCCCGGGCACCTGGAGCCCGAGGAGAAGCCCGCGCACCGCAACAAAGAGTAGCCCCTGCTCACCGCAACTAGAGAAAGACCCAAACGAAGACCCAAAGCAGCCAAAAATAAACAAATAAAATAAATAAATTAAAAAGAAGAAAAAAGATCATATGCCAATCTGAAATAGGAGGGAAGGGGCAGGGCACAGCCTTTAAAAGAATGACATAGGGGGCTTCCCTGTTGGTGCAGTGGTTGACAGTCTGCCTGCCAATGCAGGGGATGCGGATTCGTGCCCCAGTCCAGCAGGATCCCGCGTGCCACGGAGCAGCTGGGCCCGTGAGCCATGGCCGCTGAGCCTGAGCATCCGGGAAAAAAAAAAAAAAAAACTCTTCATTGCAGTGCGTGGGCTTCTCACTGTGGTGGCTTCTCATTGCAGAGCACGCACGGGCTCTAGGTGCACGGGCTTCAGTAGTTGTGGCACGTGGGCTCAGTAGTTGTGGCACACGGGCTCTAGTGCACAGGCTCAGTAGTTGTGGCACACGGGCTTAGTTGCTCCGCAACATGTGGGATCTTCCAGGACCAGGGCTTGAACCCGTGTCCCCTGCATTGGCAGGCGGACTCTCAACCACTGCGCCACCAGGGAAGCCCCCGAATTATACTCTCATTGTAATATATTAGCATCTAAATGACACACCCACAGGCACCTTGACAGTTCTGAGGCGGAAC